CTCGGTCATTACATGAAATGCATGGGCAATTCTACGACATGGCTACGACAAAAAAATCATCACGGGACTGTTGTAACCACGTGACTTCTATAAAGCAATCGGGGAATGCAATCATGAATGCACGTACTATTCAGTCACGTGGTTACCAGGAACTGGGTAAAACATTGTAAATTCATGTTTAGGCCTATCTTCACTTAACAGAGAGTACATGTCCAAATAATTCGGATTCTCTCCTAAGACAGATAAAAATGAAGAATGGTACGATATGTGGATAATTAATTTGCCCTATATCTAGAAATGATCATGTTATATTTTTAGTTAGTTTTTACATTATGTTACAAACGTACAAATCATGTTTACAGTCTTCTGAATTAACAATATAATTTGCCTAAACTATAAAATCTACAATATGATCAGGTTAAGCAAAAATATCAATGATAAGAAACAACGTTGTTTCTCGGGAAATGCAAGTCATTCTACTGCACTAAACTAAAGAAACCGGTGATCAGTACTAATGTTTAACATTTTATTTCACGTTGTTGTTGACGGTACTTCAAATATTGAAAAAGGAAGAAATATGCTACTTAGTTAAAAGAATTACTCCTCAAATGTTCGTCCCATGAATTATCTTGGACACATTTAACGTGGTTGTCTCGAATATATTGCGCCAGAAATAAAATATCGTAAGGTTTCTCATAATCAAGGCAATCTAACGAAAATCGAACTAAGTTCCGGGGGAGATTAGATTATTTAGTAAAAACATATGAAGAGAGTCACTGAACGAGAATATATGACGTGCTTGGAAAAAAATGCTCCGCATTTAATTTTTTATGTGCGAAACATGGGTTAGAAACCATTTTTTATTTTCCATCAAGCTTCTTTATGCCAGGGGAATGTACATTGGCCCCTTTATTAGGTCCTAATATACAGATTAAATTTCTGAAGAATTTTCCACTTAGGTATTTCAATAAAACCACTAAAAATCTGACAATTCACCACTATTTGCCCGAAACTGACATCTAACCCCAAAACGAATATTTGCTCTGACATGTTATAAAAGCACAATAAATTTGAAATCAAAATGGTTTTTGCTGGTACTGCTTTTTTTAACAAAATTGTTCTTATAAAAATCTATTGTACAGCTTAGGGATGTCCTACGATTCTCGCTGGTGCTTATGTTGTGTACAGAAGGTATTTTAGAACAGAACTATCATACTGTGATTTAGTCTGGCATTTCTAAATTTAAATTGCTAAAAAAGTACATTGCAATGAATATTAATGCGTTGATTAAATAACCTTTTTCTACAATTTAATTATGATTTTTGGCATTCAAAATGTAGTCAACGGTTAAATATATTACGTTATATTAAATAAAAGGTACGATAACGCTCTAGGATGTAAGATATACAGGGTGACTTTGAAGTTGAGTCATTAATTTTCAGATAATGATTGTAGAAGGAAGATAAACCAAAATATGTGTGTAAAAATAAAAAAAAAATTTACCTTGTTTTATAAAGTATCCTCCCGACAAGTATTTCAGTGCGGACCTGTATTTGATCGTGAGGTCTTGGAGCACCGGCATGCCCTCCCCTGTGATGTCTTAAGTCACCTGATTCAAGAGCCCGTTGTACTACATTAACAAAGGCACGAGGGGTTGGTTGCACTCGATTGGGAAACCGATCCGCATAATCATGTGCCATTTTTTATTTCATTTGAGCCACGCAGCAAACACCACTATTCACTCACGCGTTAGCGACTGACACATTGACTGAATAAAGACATCGTGATCAGCGTTTCAAATTCTTTCGCTTTTTTGTTTCCGATGCGATGAACCGATAAGGCGGATTATATCCGTTGTTGCCAAACACGAGCACATAATATTATTATTGAGACAGGGCGGTACTCAAACTTCTAAAGGGCTATAACTTTGTTACTTTAATTTTACCACAAAAATGTTAAAGGAAAAAAACATTTCTTTTGATCAGATCTACTCACTGTTAAAATAAATGACTCAACTTCGAAGAATAGGTACCTTGATAAAAAGATGATTACAGTCCAAGAGACGAAACATCAAATTGAAATTCTAATTATGCCATCTTGTAATGGAGTATAAGTGGCAATGTTGATGTGCAATTCATTTTGAAATCTCACTACAAATGAAGTCAGGAAAAACTTAAACGGTTTTGGAAAAAATCGTTTCTTTCCGACTCTCTCCGGTAGTACTTTGAATTTCGCAATTTTCTAAGCGGCATTCTGCTAGTTACCTAAATTCGAAACTTTGAAATTATAAGCAACTTCGTGTCTCTCACAGTTTCCGAGACCCCAATGGTGAGGGTCGAATTTTAAACAAGCGGTATACCTATGCACCGTCTGAAAAATGTCCAATAATTTGAATGAGTTACAATTACGAATTTTTATTATATAAGCTTATGACACTTGGAGGAAATAAAATGCATAGGAGAAAGTTGCCGAAGTTGTACCGTTGCCTAAATCGTACCACTGCGATATTTCAAATAAGGCGGTAAAATGTAGTATAACGATTTAGCCCTAGATGTCGTGCCCATCAAATGTCAGTTCAGGGGTAGAGTTGTTTTCGATGGATTGTTTTCGTTTTGCTTAGTCCCAAAATTAAGTGAAAATTTTACGGGCATTTTGATGTTAATTTTGTTGAGATTACGTAAGCCTGTAGCTTGTCGGTAAGTACTATTTATACAGAATATTTTCTCTAGTTCTATAGCTTGGGAAGTTCTCTTTCATTTACAAAATTTAAATTTTAAATTAGGTGTGGAAAGCAAGGTTAGAATCTCGTTTATTTATGTTTATTGAAAGTTGCCCAAATCGTACCGGTACGATTTGGGGAACCCATGTCGTTTTAATGACTCACGTTTAAGTCCACCTACCTATTTGTTTGTTTTACACAAAAAATGGTATGTATTGTTTTTGTACACGGAGAAAAAAGAACAATTGATAGAGATATCCTTAATGTTGTCAACATTTTCTTTTTCTAAGTTGTTTCAATAGATAATGTTTGAATATACAGTAATGGACAAAAGTATATAGACAAATATGAATATTTACCTAAATACCTTTAGAAAACGAATTCATACTTCATTGCTCTATAAACAAATGCGTTATTAGCACTAAAACTAAATTCCTTGTTTTTACATTATCTGCAATGAACACAATACAGGTCTGAATATAAGCACTTTTTTATGAGGGACAAAAATATATAGACACATTCTTTTCAACATTAGTTTAGTACAGTTTCGTGTCAGAAGAGGATTAGTTTGTGTTCATCAAGTATTGTGGAATAAGTTGAGTGATTTTAAGACCATGCCGCGTGGTCCAGAAATTTCTTTCGATGTGAAAACTAAGATCATTGAGTTATACAAAGATGGTCAACGTTAAGTCGACATTGCCAAAAATTTGAAGCTAAAGCATAAAGCAGTTTGGGCAATATTGAACAAATATAAACACAAAGGTATCTTGGAAGTCTCTGAGAGAAGTGGTCGGTCTAGAAAACTAAATGCTAGATCAGTTAGATTAATAAAAATAATTTCGTCCAAAGATCCGTTTAAAACCCCATGACAAATAAAAGCCGAAATCGATACAAAAGGAATTGTCGATGTTTCTACGAAAACTATAAGTAGAACATTAAATGATTTGAAGTTATTTGCACGCCGCCGAGTTAGAAGCCGCTAATCTCGAGGAAAAACCGTAAGGACCGATTACAATTTGCACGGTTGCATCTTGATTGGAGCATCTGTGACTGGAAGAGGGAATGTTTCAGTGACGAGTCCAAGTTCAATCTGTTTGGATCAGATGGTGTTCATCATGTTAGACGTTCTAGTGGACAAATATTGAACCCCAAGTGCACTTTGCCCACTGTCAAACATGGAGGCGGGTCTGTTATGGTTTGGGGGTGCTTTTTGGGGTTTGGGATGGGACCTTTACATAGAATAGATGGCATTTGGATAAGTTTGTATACACAGACATACTAAAGCATGTCATGTTATCCTATATGCCCTTAAGATCAATCTTCCAGCGAGACAATGACCCGAAGCACACTTCAAATCTCGCAAAGAAATTCTTTCTGGATGAAAAAAATACCAGTTCTCAAATGGCATTCACAGTTTCCCGATATAAACCCCATTGAAAATCTATGGGAATACTTAGATAAGCAAATTCGAGATAAAAATTATGCAAACAAGGATGAACTTTTTGCCGCTTCAGAGCAAAAGTGGAGACAAATCGATGAATCTTATATTAAGAAACTTCTACTCGTACAATCTATGCCGAGACGATGCCAGGCGGTGATTGATAATAATGATTATGCTACAAAATATTAACACAAACATGTTTGGTTTTCTATAATTCAATGAACTTTGCTTTTTTTCTATAATTGTTTGGCTTTGTCTATATATTTTTGTCCTTCATAGTTCCAGTTTTTTTAATTAATTTTTTATTGAAGGGAGTCTAATGAATTTATTTATGTATAAGTGAGTATTATTCTATAACGAATTATGTATATAGGTTGGTGTATTAATAACACAAGTTAAAAAAGAAATACAGCACAATATTAATTTGTCTATATACTTTTGTCCATTACTGTAGGTACCTACCTACACAGAGAAAAAAGCTAGTTAACAAAAAATATAAGTACCTTATTTTTGCTTAAAAATAAAAATTTGTTTGTTCAAAAAATATAGGTAGTTTGTTTTAATTTTAATAAAATATGTTTTAAATAGAAAACAATGTGTATTACTACATTTTTTCTTCGTAAATAGAAAGCAAATTTTATAAAAAAATAGCAATAATCTAAAAAATGTTTGATTGTTTTAGAAAATGCCCAAAAGACAATATGGAAATTGGTCCATGGACGACTTGAAAAATGCAATAATAGAATATAAAAATGGAAATATTCATTTAAATTATTCATCAGATATAAAAACAATAAAAATGCAAGATATTTTGGTTTGGATTTTATCGTGCTTTCATAACGTATCAGAGCACATATTCATCACTCGGTTAGAGGCTATTCATCACTCGGTTAGAGGCCAGTATCGTGTGAATAGAGGTGATCAAGGTAAACAGTATCTTGTCAGATTTTAAGAGATATTTTATTGCACTAAATTGAAAGTCCTTTGCTCGCTTTTGGCGTTCAAACACTTATTCTGCGAGCGTTTTAGGGCTGAACAAAGGATTCAAGGTTTATTCCCTTAGCGATTTGACCTTATTTTTCGCAAATGGAAAATTGAAGCCGGATTTTTTTTTCTAGCTCGACCCGTATTCTCGTAGAGCAATACTTTTCACACGTTTACACCAAATAATCTGTCTGTTTACAATTTCCAACACTTTGCTATATTTCTTAGACTGTTAGTACCGACCAACACTCCTTTATGAAACAAAAAATTAAACCTGGTAGGCATATTTGACGTTTCCAATATTTTTTCTACGGTAAATATCTTGCATTACAGATCAGTCGCACGCCTTGAAACGGAACAAATGCAAATGTAACTAAATCTTAGTCTGAGTAACTACACGTAGTTGCTTGCATACTTAATGTTTATGCCCTCTCAACTTTGAGCAATATTTTCACTTTCATAGACTTCACGGCAGACTTCCGATGAAAATCACTTGAATTCGCGTTCCAAAAATTATCTCAATAGCCGTGTATATTTTTGAATACCCACCTTATAGACATCTATTAAAAAATGAATTAAACCTACAGTGTTCTATCATTTTTGTACCCTCGGGTATTTTAGAAATGATTGAACTGCAGGGTGAACGTTCATTTTGGATAAGAAAAGCTAATCTATTTGTTTTTCAAACACAACTCGCTGGAAACATCATGAAACTTGATGAACACACGCTTTAAACTAAGATTAAACCCTGTTTTGCACCAATTCCACCTCCTCCTAGAAGGTGGTTACTTGTCAAACGGTGCTCTCCCTCTTATTGGCCATAAGGGGTGTGTCGGCGGAAGGTTCCTCCTCTTGACCTGCAGCGGGCGCTGTTGCGATTGGCTGAAGCGCGATGGGCGGTTCCCGAGGCTGCTGCCGCCTCGGCGGGGCATGCCGGTATTGAGCGGGGTACAGAGCGGGTGGGAGGTGCGACATCGGGCCGTACTGCCATTGGCCAGGAGGCGGCTGTGGGCGGGGCAACGTGCAAGACGTGTACGGGGAAGGCATGAGTTGCGGTCCACCCCCTGAAAGCTGAAGCAAAAAGAATATAGGAATGAAAATTGTTTTAAAACACTTAGGAATGGACATTAGATGTACCCATTAGAGCTGTCAGACATTGATCCATGGGTGGCAACTACAGCATCGCCAATTTTCATGGTGCGACGTATCGCATCGTAAATTTAGTTAGTACCAGAAAAAACACTTGTACTAAACTGAAATTTTGCATGTGGATTTAAATTCCCGGATCTTCTTATTTGTTTAAGTAGTTTTCTACTGTACCGTATCAGCGCTCCATTTTGAGGTTACGTTACAAATGTCTATTTGAACCAAATTGTTCATGCTTTTGATTTACATCATCGGTTATGTTATGAAATTTACTACGACTCAAAAACGGAACACAGCTTTACAATAGGAGTACGCTGATGCTGACACGGAACAGCAGAAATTATATATATATACGAGTATATACTATGAAAAACAAATATTTAATAAAAGTTGGTCGTGTATTTTTAAAACGAAGCAACAACAGACTTATGCTTATATAAACATCCCTTAAGACTCCATTGTCCGGTAAAATTAAACCACAAATACAGGATTTCCGCAAAGTTGGGACTTCCCTTTACATGACGTATAGATCTTGGAGAAATAAGATGTTTCACCTAGTAGCATATACACCACAGTCCTAAGATAGCCGAGATATTACTATAGGCTCCGAAAAGCTAATCAAACGTAAAGCAAACCTGATCCGTTCCTGTATCTCGATCAGATAAAAGGTGAGAAGGAAAGACGTACGTTAGTAGGTACGCAACCTAGGCACCGGCAGCGTTGGTAAACAAAGCACTTATTTACCAATCGTTCAGGAAGAACCAAAATGGCATACTCGTCCTGTGGTCGACATGATTTTAGTTTTTGGTGAGCATCTCCAAAATGCTATCGAGGCTTCGTGATCTCCGTGCATGGTGCAAACTGAGGAAGGAGTACCTATTGAACTTTGTAAAAAAAATATCCTTTAACAAGCATTAGGCAAGTGGCTAGGCAAGGTCAAGTCTCAAAGACTAAGGTGTGGAATACGCTGCGTGCCGATTGATTGTAGATATCTTTTTTCGAGCGAATCAACCTTCACGCGTAACCAAGTGAAAATGAATATAGTCAAAATCCTGAAAGATGATTATTACGTCATACCATGAATTGTACTGAAGTAATCAATGGACGTACGTCGATGATAAAATCACGAGTCAGAAACATAATGACAACAAATGAATATTATGATTTTGCGAAGTTAGGTTATTTCAGTGATTATTTTTATTTTCATTTTGTTTCATGGTTTTTAGTGATGCCTTAATAATAATTTTAGTGGGGAGTTTTGGTTTTGAAAAAAACAGTTATGAGTATAATACCTTAAGACAGGAACACCAAAGATCAAAGTATTATTCGAAAACAACATAACTTGCTTTAACCTAACCTAACTATTCATCTTTCAAATATGATCGATCATGCAACATGAAAACATCGTCTATCTTTGTCGGATACATGCAAAATAGCAATACAGTTTGTTTAGACTATAAAATTCTGTTTGTCTCTGTGTAACATATCAGAAACGTCATTAAATATATTCACAAATCGCTGTCGTTTGTCTTTACTACAGAGTAAAATGATGACGTAATCGTCAACTTTCGTGATTTCGACTATAGGTAACTCCCGAAATATTCACGTGTGGTCACTGAAAAATCTCACCTAGTCCGTCGGTCACATTTTCTTTGAATATTTGGGCTGATATTGGACCTATTGTTATCGGCTGGATGGTTTACAATACCTAGACTTTTTACGAGACATTTTACCAACGGCGGCAACTTCGAACAGTACTAGTGAATGACAAAACCGATTTTTTTTTGCAAATTAACGGTGAGTACTTTTTCATTTATTTTTTTATACTTCTTAGCTTTTGTTCCACTACGCATTAGCTTTGTTATTTCAAGCTTAGTTGTTTCTGATAGGGAAACTCTCAACTTTTGGGACACCTTGTATGTTTTGATTTCTGATTATTTTAGTACGAAGTCCACCTCATTGACCATTTTCAACTATAATGGTAGTTAATGACACGGAAAACATAGGATAAGCTTTATTCTGACATCATTGCGTGTACCTGTCCAACATAATTTTATTGATGGGAAACATGGTCCCATATAGCAAAATTCAAGGAGAGGACATTGCTCATTATGATTTCCGTTACCTGCGGCGTGGGTGGAGAAGCCGCGAACTGAAAATTGCATTATAAAGAATTTTCGAAGGTGCTGATTGGATGAAAGCGAAAAAGTCTCTTTAAACAAACCCGTATCATCAACCCATGAAGGATCAAGTTCAGCGCAATTTAAATCCCCTGAAAATATTGAGTTACGGACATGTAGAACAGAGAAATTACACGTATTAAGTCAGTCAATTATAATGTATATATTATATAATTAGTCCATAACCCATAGTTCTTCCCTGCCTTGCTGGTAGTTACCGACCTTGTGGCAACGTTGTCTCTTTCCACATCTGCGCGGCATGTCATCAGCGAGTTCAAGCTCCGTATCTTTTTTGAGCTTCAGTACGAATATAAGCCGGACTGGTTCGCCAGGTGGTTCGCTCTGAGGTACGAGTTAATGGATCAAAAACATTTCTCTATTATTTTAAGTTTTAAAGGCAAATGTACGAGTAAATCTATGATGTATGAAATACGGCTAATAGGTGCGTAGAATTACCGAGGTTGGGAACGCATAAATATACTAAGATAACCAAAAACATATACCCCCCCCCCACTTTTTACAACCCCCAAATTTAAACCCATATAATTTTTTTTTAAAACAGGGCTCTCTAAAACGTCAAAAAACGAAGTTTGAGCAATTTTCGTTTTTTCCGTATTTAGTCTTTTTCTCCGCCACCACTAGAGTGATTTTCAAAAAATATTAAAGTTCTACAACCTTGGCATAGTACTAACCTTGTGTGCAAATTTAATCAAAATCCTAGCGTTACTTTCCAGGTTATAGGCGGTTATAAAATTAGGGGTCAAATTAACAAACAGACCGACGGAAGTGAGTGATATGGTTTTTTGTGATGTATGTTACATGTCATATGACATCTAAAAAAATAAATCTCAATTTTTTCGTGATTACAATACTTCCTCGCCAGTTTTGGCATAGGAAGTGAAATGCAAGTATTTAACCTAGCAGGAGTAGATACAAGAAAATTAATATCTGGGCTTTACTATGAAATGATTATTAAGCATTTTTGTTGCTAAGTTGAAATTTACTTGGCCAAACTTCTATTAACAATACCGCTACTGATTTGTCGAAAAGCTTTATATAAAATACGCCCGAAAATATCATATTTTCAAGATACCTTCATTTATATCATTTTTATCATATTGATACAGGCCTGGCTCAAGTTTCACTGTATGTGTAGGTAGCAATTAAGAAAGAGATCCTACATCTTGTCTTTACAATATACTAACCTGTGAGATGTTATGCCTCACGATTTTTTGGTATCATATTTATTTGTAATCGCACACACAAAACAATGATGAAAATAGGGTACGAAAAAAAAATCCAGAAAATCTCATTTCTGGTCCCTCGGTGTGTAGACGTTATCTCTAATGGTTTTTTAAAAGAAAGATTATGATTCTTCTTTCATTTATTTATATTAATACCGGTATTTTAGGGGTGTGAATTTTTCAGTAATATTTTGTTGTTTTGTTAGCGAGGTAACGAATGACATTCGAGAATTTGAACGTGGAAGCAATATTTGCCTCCGACATTCGCAAATGGTATCTAATATTCAGTTTGTTTCCTTTATATACGTATACCATATCTAAACGTACTCGAAAGAAAAACGCCTATTTTTCAAATTTAATATTTTGCTACTCCAGCTTGATTATGAATTTGTTGTTTAAAAGAAAATAAGGTAAAAGGGAGTTTTTAATTTGCTTAAAAATACTTCTTTTCCACATGAAGATTAAGAGAAGAAATGCCGGTTTTATTTGAAAAAAGAATTTATGATAAAAAAGTAACAAAAAATGTTTTTATTGTTATTCAATAATTATGTTTTTGTTTTCGAAAGATGATGATTTCGTAGCACTAATACGAAAGTTTGAAAAAATTTGTCTAGAACAACATTTAATAACATATTGATATTATCTTTTTTAATATATGAGATTTTTCTAGATTTGTCTGGTTATTCTAAAATTTTCCACAAATCGCGGATGTTTTCAAAATAAAAAAGTAAACATGTAAGCAGCAACTCGTTACTTAAGAAACGAGCACCCTATTAGGTATATATTACTTCTCCAGCGGATGCCATGGGGAGGGCATGCCATGAATTGTCCCACTGAATGGGCGCCCATGATGGTAGAGAAGCTTATCTGCTACGAAATCGAGGTAAACCACTAATCATAACTTCGTTATCGGTGCGATGATGAAGTGAATACGCGCCTACGTGACAACTAGAGGTGGAAGATGGAAGTTTAAATTAGTGCCCCATTTAATGAAGAAATGCATTGGATTTCAACCGAGCTCTTGGGCTTTGCAGATTTAATTGAAGATCGTATACAGGGTACTTTGGTGGTATGGGCTATTATGAGTTTTTGGCTTTCCGTTTCAGTATACAGCCAATTTTCCGAATCGAAACTGGACTTGATATCTATTGACCCATTCTGTACGTATTTGAATCATAAGAATACAAAATAGAAATGTGTATCTGACAATTATGACAATACAAATAAAAGCTCTTATCTAACCCGAATTTTTATCATTTTAACAGCCCATCAGCTTTTTATCTGCGTGAAATTTTAGCACTCCAATGCAATTGAAATGCATGGGTTAGTAGCCAAGACTATACGCTCGCATTGCACTGTTTGTCGCCAAAATTGTGTATACTTTAGGACTGATTCATCTTCCAATACTTAAGAAAGTGACAAACCAATACAATTTCCTGTAGAAAGGATATGTGAAACACTCAGTTATTGTTAATAAATATGGATAAATCAAAGAATTCATTCGGAAAAATAAGGTAAATGTTTGTTAACGATACAGTATATGAACAGTTTAAAATGAGGAAATATAAAATTGCTATTTATAATGCGAAAGCAAATACCTTTTCTAGGAACTATCATATTCAAAATGCCAATGACTAATATACTGAGTGACAAAAAAAGTAAACACCTACGTATGTTAATCCGATTCTAATAATTTTTGGCATATCTATATGTCCAGTGTCCCTTACTAGTAAAATGATTTTCATCTTGATTCGTCAACTGACTACAAAAGCTGGTTAAATAATGTCTTGAGGATCCACACTCATTGAGCATCGTGCTGATAGGATGCTCGATATCCTGTTGGGATATCTCATTCCAGGCTACTGCAACTTCGTGAGTAAGAGCTTCTAAAGTCTGTGGAGGGTGTTGCAAATTCAAGAGCCTGCGACCTATTATGTCCCAGACATGTTCAATTGGAGACAGGTCAGGCGATCATGGTGGCCAAGGTAAATGGTTGATGCGATGTTGATCCATGGAGGCTAACGATACTCTGCCAACATGCGGTCTGGCAGTGTCTTGCTGAAAAATTGGGTTTTGGATGGAGTAGGTATGGAATAAGATCAAGCTCCACTACTTTCTGTATATAGCGTGGCGCTGGCATATTGCCTCTGATGAAAACTAGTGGTGATCTGCTACAAAGCAATAGCACCCCACACCATAACTCCCACGGTGTGGTGAACGTGACGCTCTCTGTCGAATTGTGGGTCACGTCTTTCACCACGTCGCCTTCTCACTGTTACCCGACCATCGTGCATCGCCAGGTAGAAGCGGAATTCGTCACAGGAGGTCTTTTACCTCCTGATTCCATTCCCGGTCCCATAGGATTATTTTTCTACACCAGATCAAACGGTTACGCCGATCTTCAGTTGTGGTAGGTATATAGCACCCAATGTGGGCGATAAAAAAAAACGCCAAACTGTCGTATTTGGTGATATACCGTAGGCAGACCAACCATGCTCGTCAAGCAACTGATTAGCGATTGCTCGAGTACTACTGAGCCAGAAGCCTTCACATTGCAGTATACCTACTGCGTAAGGATCTTTTGGTCCTCCAGAAACTTGTCTTATCGATAGACCAGCTTCGCGCAACCCGACAATTCGACCCCCCCAAAGTCACTTAGCTGGGACACCCGGCGAATTAGAATTCCCACTCTAGGAATTTTGATCAATCAAAAAAAGGTTTCTCAATAAGCTACAGGAAATTTAACATTTAACTGACACCGTAAATGTACGTAAACTGAATGCTTCTTTACCTTTTTTTGTCACTTACACTTATCAATAAAAATGTCTGCTATTATTCAGCTTAAACTGGCTTTTGCAATCAACAGAAACCATTTTCGGCAACTGTGTTGAACTCTAGGACTGTGGCAAACCGCACGTCCGTACATGTTTTCGCAGAAAAAAAACTGACGACTCAAGCCTGAGCAACTTGTGGTATGCACTTGAATCTTCACTAGTGAGTACACAATTGGTTTAAAACAACTCGCAAGCTGGCTCCTATAAATGCGTTGATCCAATATCCGTTAACATTTTGATGAATAGGGAGAAATATTTTTCACTACAAACCCCAGAAATCACCATTATTAACCGCATTCCATTATGTAGAAATATCATGCCTCTCTCTAAGTTAATAGTGAAAATAGAACACACCTAGGTAAATAATAAAGTGATTTTAAATTGTATCCTGTCAATTTAATTGTGTCAGTTTGAAAACTGAAGTTTTTATTTCGAAATATTTTAAATTTTTGATAAACATTTAATTTGAAATATAGCTTCATATGTAGTTCTTCTTGAATACTCTAATAATAAATATAATGTCTGACAACGGATGTAAGTATAAACAAAAAAAAACCTTTGTACCTTACTCTCCTTGGATGGGCTAGTCTAAATCAAATCGGCTGTTTGTTGCGTTTATCAATTTGGATTTGTCAGTTTGACACCACGTAGCTAGATACATTAAGCTATTTTTAAAGTGAGTTGGAGACGTCATGTGTTTCGCATAAGAACCGAAACAGAACAGGGGTATGTCACTCAAAATATTGTAATTTGACACAGCTCACTCTCATACTTAATTGCACCCCTGAGAAGTTACAGACCGTCAATGTGGGGTTTAAATTTTCTAAAAAAATAACATCTTATTATTCTTGTACTTATAAAAAGAAAATTTGGTCTATGTTTTGGGTATATCAAAGGATATCAATTGACAGTAAGTTCAATTCAAGCATTTTAAAATGTTGAAAAGGGATAATGCACCTTGAAAATGTGATTGAATTTTTCAATGCGTTGGCAGGCTTAAAAATTACTTCAATTTATGTAGAATCTGGTTCAAAAACTGTTCGTACTCTTGTTATTTTTACTGATATACAAGGCGTAAACAAAGAAGGCTACTTGGCTGTATATGGTATACGACTTCCAATGAGCACTTGCTTCGTAAAATTTGTCAATTGAAGACACTAGTGGACTTTTTACTTCATTGACATTTTAAATATTTAGTTGAATCAGTCTGGTATCTTGTTTTTGCAACAAAGTAATCACGGAATGAAAGAATCACTCCTTAATATTAGTTTAATGCAAAAAAGCAACATTTAAGAAAATGTTACATGACACCTTTATCCACTTGTCTCTTCAATTATCTAAGAATTTAATAGCCTAGATGATTATGAACCTCCATTGCTACTATTTCATGTATTGAGAAAACGAAGTGATTTTTTTGCTTTCAATTGCCTTTGAAAAGTTCCGGAAAAATGTTTTATTTCTGTGTAGTAAATGTCATGTTTTTCAAAATTTTGATTTTAAGCAGTCGCGTTTTCTTTCCACAGCATCTAGATATAAGTTACAAGGTACTGTGGATCTGAATCAGTTTTAGTAAGTTGACTACTACAGCAGGCATACGAAATTAAAGCGGCAAAAAGTACATAAGAAGTAGCGGTTTACATTTTATGATTGTGTCGCTGAATAATACTGCCACTATCATGTGCATATGTTTTCCATTTCAGCGACTAAAATCGACCAAATACAATGTTGTTTTATGCTTTTAAGCAACAATCAGTATAATAGGTATTTGGAGACAGATGACGGAAAGCGGACAAGCTAATGCGCGTCTACTGAAAAAAAATATGATGTGCAAAGGATACAATTGCCATCCTTGAGTCGCTTCGTTGCGGTACCACCAACTCCTACGTACAGAGGTGGATGAAACTACCGGTTCCCAGCATCTCTGAACGACAGTGTCCGCTTCTCAGAAGGCAAACAAAGATGTCCACCACATAGACGTTCCATTGTTACTCAGGGGAGTACCAAGTACTCACCATGCATTGGCGTACTATGCAAAAGTTACATAAACCAAACACAAAATAATCAGTGATTCTTACCATCTTAGACTGTGCAGCTAGCTCATGAAGTGGTACCCCATTCCTGAGGGTGCAGTACCCCATGTACCCGGTTCCAGGCGGTGCCGCTACATGATTGCCAGGCGCTGATTGGTGCATCAAACTAGACCTGCTTGGTGAACACGTCTCAATTGTGCTGATGTGTTGCTGTCTTTTCCTGAATTCAGGTCCGCCGATAATTTCTTCACCTTCGCCCAGAGGTTGGGGGATTATGTCAGGGTTCTTTTCGTCGCTGTCACCATCGCCGGCGCTGCTTTCATGTTTTGAAATTGGACTGCCACCTAAACGAATACTTTTTCTATAGGCCTACTTAACCTTTACTATAGTCGAACAACAAAATCAACATTCAACTCTGTATCCACGTCATCATGAACAATATTTTCTACGCAGGCTGTCCCATTTTTGTCTCCCCGTCTGAATATTTCGAACTATTCACGATTCTATCAAAATTTGTAAGATTTCGGGAAGGGAGGAGGGTTCGCAAAACGATGGTGACCTTGACTATGACCTTGATCGCGATCTTCAAGGTTCTTTGAAGCTCAAGTTAACATTTTCAAATAGAGCTCCGCTTTTTGATAATGAGATCGAACAGAAGAAAAAATTTTATGTCCGAATATGACCATCACCATTTCAAGCTCTAATCAAAACGTTGAAAACAATTTGCTCGATTGCAAACCAAAATTGTCGACAGCACGGTTGTGGAGTTTGTGAGGATCATCCAAATGTGACATTGAGCACGATCTTCCATGTCAAGACAACATTTTAGGAGGAAACCAATGGAAACTATAGAAATGGAAAAAACAAGAAAATGATACATCTGATTGTTACCTTGGCCTCAAAGTCAAAGTCGTTCCAAGATTAAATCTTGTTTAAGGCCAAGGTCACATTGATATGTAAGATTTCGTGTTTTTTCCGTTTCCAGTATAAACATGAGTTTTTTTTTTTGGAAATTTTGACTTGACCTTGAAGGTCATTGTCAGGGTTATGGTCACCTTTGGGTGATTCTCACAAACTTCTGAACTGTACTGTCATATATTTTTGGTGGAGCAGATCAGTTTCGGTGCACTGATTTGACTTGAAATTGACTTGGTCAATGTCATGGTCAAGGTGTTTCTCCTCTTCTCAATTCAGATGCCAAAAATGGGGTTATTTAAAAATATTAACTGGTCTATGGAAGTTGCGATCGCGGTCATTTTGACTATCGAAGCCCTACAGCTTTGGTTTGAAACTTTTTTTCTAAAATGCGCAGCTATAAATATTTAGGTGATGAGACTAAAATGGGACACCCTCCCAACTAGCATTTTGTTAAAATGGGCTACCGTCCAAAAAAGTTACCTATATTTGTTAAATTCCAGTAATTATACCCTTGAATGATGCCCTCAAAAGTTGAATTGTCTTGGGAGTTGAGTCCTTTATCAAACATTGGTAACCACGAACCAAATTTGGGCCCTAATAGACCTTTGACCAAGCGGTTAAATTGGTTGGTTCAAAACTGCAAAAGACATACCTCGAAGAAGTACTTAAACAATTCTTGACCTCGAAGGCAAATCCAGTGGTTATAGCTTACTCATTATTAATCTATAAGATACCCTCAAGTTCTTTTTTGGGCATGCTGGTAAGTAAAAACTAGCTTACTTATTAGTTGGCGACATAAATTGGTATGTCTACTAAATAATTCTATTGTACATCTTGGGGTTAGAAGGATTCTTTCAGTAAATGTTTGTCTAGATTTCGAGATTGACACTATGAAGGTTTTTTTTCTATTTTTACTTCTAAGTAGAAGTATGTTATAGTCATATGATTTGATAGGGCAAAACTGCTACGATTTTTCCTCAAGACGATCTTAATAGTTGCTTATATCATTGGACCTATTAGTAATAAATGCCTCATAGTCTTAATATTGACTTCTGGATTACTTTGGTTTTATTCCCAAATTTGGGGGAAAGGCACACGCTTTTAAGTAAATATAACTTATAACGTAATTTTAACTTTAAATGTTTGTTGGGCTGTATATTTATTATTCATACTTGACCTTGAGTAGCCACTACTATTAAACTACGGCTATGGCGCTGTTTTCATCTCCAATTACTAACAAATTTGCAGTTAAAGCCCAGCAAAATCCCTTAATAACGAGGTCGATGTTCCAATTGAAAGAGGCGTGCGTGGTAAGGCGTTAACGTTAAAGAACAAAACGAAACCATTAAGAGTCGCAGCACTCCCGTCATCGGCACAATATACAGACTACGAATAGTGGAGTCACTCGTTTTAAATTCGGACTCCCTAGCCTTAATACACTAATCCAACTAAAATCGAACCTGCTTTAAAAAAATTATTTTAGAGCGAAATGATATTCTTCAGGATATATGTATGAAAAGGCCCATCATCGAGAGGCATAGCAAATTTTGCTGTGTAACTTTTTTATCAAAAGTTAGTTGGAAAAATTACTTTTGGTATACAGATACTCAAATGGTCGTGAATTATTGGTATGAGTGATCAAAAAAAAAATAATGTGGGAGATGAGAACATTTTTACAAAATGATGTCTTACAAGGTTAATTTTCTAGAACGGTATAGACAATGCGTGTTTTATAAAACAAACAATAGAAGAGCGTTTGGAAGCATAATTTGGAGACACATTATTGTATTTGCTGCCTTTCAAAAAGCGTACAATAGTATTCCATTAGCTAAGTTGTGGCAAGTGTTAGAGGACAGGAAAATTCCACCGATCTACACTGATGCAGTTATACGATGGTATGACGAGTTCAGTAAATATTCGACAAAAAGGACAAAGGACTTCACCAAGGCTGCTGCATTCCATCTACGCTCTTTAAGATTAATTTAGAATGGGTTTTGTGAATCTGGAAAAGGAGATATGAACCTATCGGAATTTCAATTGGTGATCATAAGCTGTCAAGCTTGCATTTTGCAGATGATCAAGTAACACTTGCAGAAGATCAGGATAACATCCACATCATGTTACGAAAAATAGGGGGTTTAACAATTAATCTATAAAAAACAGAGTATGTAGAGGTGCTAAGTGGAGGAAACCATTTACAACTAATAGGCTCGCAAGTTAAAAATAGCGACAGCTATAAGTATCTCAGTATAAGTATTACAAAAGTCGGTCGGAATAGAAATAAAATAGAAACTAGGGATGAGCAAGATAATACAGCAATACGTCAAACGAATAGTGAACTCTGGAACAACCGCATCACATGGAACATAAGGATTAGGATGTACAAACATGTATCATAGAAAGTATTGCTACATATGGTTCAGAGCTTTGGATAACAAATAAAAAGCACGCCTTCAAACTAAAAGTCATGGAAATGAAATGTTGGCGAAGATGTTGCGAACTCATAAACCCATAAAATAGAAATAAACATAAAAACTAAGGACAGAACAAACACTCACATCTGCAAACTCTCAGCGAACGCCAAGGGAAAAGATAAACCAAATTTATACTTTAAAGAAAATAGACAATAGGATCGGATGCTATAAAGTTGGACCTTAAAAATAAGACGCGACAAAAACATGGTTTGGAGATCTATTCTGTAATTACATTTGGTTGCTATAACTATAAAGTTTACAAGGAGTGCTGGGAAACCTGAAACTCAACCATTGGTTAGCAGATGTTAGAAGATACCCCGAACGCTGAATGGTCAAGCGTCAGAGGCGTATTATGGGATATCTAAGACTTCCGAAGGCTAGCATATTACTAATATTTATCATGATGGGAAAATATGAAAAAGAGGAGACAAGCAGCTAGATATTTAGTAGAATTTTCCCCTATCTGATAGGAATTGGTGCGCCAGGCTGGATTCGATTCCACCTTCTATCAACGTATGCGTTGACAGATGCGGTTTGGAAATTATCATTAGAGAGGACCAGGTGAAACTAACGAAAGACGGCATAGTTTCCAACGAAGCTAATTTTGCTAAAATGCATTAAAATGCCAGAAGAAAGTCACCACTAGTTTTACCTAACTAAATTTTTATAAATATTTAAGAGGACATCTCGAACTGTGGCCTCAGCATTACAGAAATTCCCAATTCATTTAAATTATTGAAAAATGCAGGGTCTGCCCAAAGCAAATAGAGCCACGAGACGCCACTGAAGGGGGCGTGTTGCATAAACTTAAGGAAAGACTGTACGCTGATGACACTCCTTGAGGTGGGACAAGGGAACGTAATTGGCCAATAGAGCTTAAGGCCATTTTGAGTTCAAAAATTAAGTCTAACAATCATTGGCCAAGTTAGTGTCCATCTTTAGAGAATCAGTCGGCCATTTCAAGGGTTGTAAACTGATCGACCAATGAGGAGACTAGGGTTGACTCACTAAGTAAAAATGACCAGCCTTCTGATGGAGGGGAAAATCCGCAACTGACTTCCGATAATTTTGAAACTAAAAACTTCAGTTCTTCTCTCATCTTCGTCTTGTACGGTTGAAAAAGTTGCTTCGATTTTCCCTCAGTTAGTGGCTGTTAATAAATGTTGCGTTGGTGAATTTGTGTTACGTTGTATTCTCATCAGTAAGTACTTTCAGTTACTTAAAAAGGGGTTATCCCTTCTTTTTTAGCCCTTCTGACTAAAGCTAATATAACACTGAGTTAACTAAGAATTCTATGCATTAGCTTAATCAATTAGCATTGTTTAAGTTGAGATTCTTGAATTTATTTTTTGCTATTAAATTCAAACTTAAATTTATTGTAAAGAAGTTATCACCGTTACTTTTAACTTAGTCGTAATTCACTCCTCCAGTGATCCTTTCCCCAGCCTATTAGTTTTACAAAGTTAACTGTTGTGTGTCATTGCTACTTCACTCTTCACGAGTGTATATACCTATATATTTTGATTCTGGAATTCAATTATTAATAAAAATTAGTCTCCTCTAACTTGAGTTTCATTAAATTCATTAACTGAAGCTAACTTCGAATTCGATGGTTCCGAAAATATTCATTCGTGCGTTTACCACGTTCTCTGATTACTTGGAGAACAGAGGAAGCAATATTTTGTGCAAGGTGAATGTTTCAATGAGTCAAGATTATATTACTATATGTCAGGTTCTACACGAGTCTACCTCCTAAAGGAAGACAAGTAAAAGGTAACAGAATTGGAAATTCGAGGGGTCTCAGAAATTGAAGTATTGGATTGGAGATCCGAACTATATATTCAAGGCACGACATTGAGAGGCCCGGGAGGATCCTGTTACACGACTGATACAACGGATCAACCGGAGAAAAAAGGAGACCAAGAGGATCGTGGAGACAAGAAGTAACCGGT